AAAAAATGTTGCAAGGAAAACGTAAACAAGTTGCACAAGTGTGACGTCATACAAACAACGATTCTGTCAAATTCACTGAGAGAGGAATAGCGGTACCGTGATTGGCGCAACCTCTATTTCTCTCAATCGTGAGTACAAGTACTGATTTGAGTAATACCTTGATGGTATTGATTTATCCCTAGGGAGCATACACATTTTGAGGCTTTATTTTATAAGATGTAGAGAAGATAGCGATAGAGATGTGCACGCTCTCTTCTTTGTCATAAATGTTCGCACATGTATGTGTACTAGAGGTATACGCCGCCGAGCCACGCCGCCGCCGCCGCCGTTTTTTGTCATTCCTCACGCGCCGCCGCCGAGTTACGAAAATACCGGCGCGGCGGCGGCGGCGGCGGCGTTCGGCGCCTTAGGAAATTTGGACAAAATTTTCATTATGTATGTACATTGAATACATCGTTTGAAGGAACTAAATACTACTTGTATAAAAACACAATTTTACGAAATGAAAATTACATTTTTAAATTAGTTTTTTTGCATAATTTGGGTCATTAGACACCAATATGATCTTCTTTGTTTTTCCAAAAAGAGCGTAACCCAGAAAAAACATAGGTAACATATTTTTCGACGAAAGCGTTTATTACATTTAAATTAGGGTCGAATACTGGTAATCTAACGATTTTTTTCGGCAGTAGACAATTCTTTTCAATACTACAACAATACTACTTTTTATACACCTACTACACAACAAGAAAGTTATAACACAACAAAAACTTTAACGCCAATCTCTCAGAAAGCAGTTTTAATAGAAGCGGCCTCTTTGCATCTAACTCCTCAATTAGTGGAGATATAATAAGGACAAGTTGATTTTTCTATGTATTTTTATACCTTTCATGAGCATGAAATGGTATTATAACTTTGGTCCGATGTTTGTAAGTACCAGAATAAAAAGAGATAGACCCATTTTCACTGTAAGTATTCTGTTAATAATGAGTGAAAATGGTGCGAAATTTCATGTTCCTAGCTGCATAAATGGAGGAGTTATGATAAAAGACCTCATATCTGAACAATCAGTTGTATGGGGGCTGCAGGTTATAGTTACCCGATCTTTGTTATTTTCTCTGTTGATAATGAGTGGAAATAGCGCAAAATTTCATGGTCCTAGCTATATAAATGGAGGAGTTATAACGAAAAATCTCATATCTGAACAATCACTTGTATGGGAGCTATAGGTTATAGTTACCCCATCTTTTTAATTTTCACTGTAAGTTTTCTGTTGATAATTAGTGAAAACAGTGCGGAGTTTCATGTTCCTAGCTATATAAATGGAGGAGTTATAACGAAAAATTTTATATCTGAACAATCAGTTGTATGGGAGCTATAGGTTATAGTGACCTGATCTTTGTAATTTTCACTGTAAGTATTCTGTTGATAATGGGTGCAAGTAATGCCAAATTTCATTTTCCTAGCCGCATAAATGGAGAAGTTATAACGAAAAATCTCATATCTGAACAATCAGTTGTATGGGAGCTATATGTTATAGTGGTCCGATTCTTCCGGTTCCGACAAATGATTAATACGTTATAAAAATACGCCCACCCACCAAATTTTATCCGCATATCTCGAAAACTAAGAGACTAGATTGCATACAAACAGACGAACAGACAGACAGACGGACAGACGGACATGGCTAAATCGACTCAGCTCGACGTTCTGATCATATAAGTATACATTTTG